CGGGGCGTTCCTCTGCCCGGGAAGATGGCCGAGTTGAGCGCCGTGCGGACCTCGCCACTTAACCACCGTCCTTCTGGTAGGACCCTCAGAGTATCCGGGGAGGGAGCCGGTTCAGGACCCCTGGGGGGAGGGGGCGGGGCGGGCCTCAAAAGGCCTTAGGTCGAGAGCAGTGAGGGTGTGGGGCGCGACGCAGAGCTCTGATAATCAATCGCCTTTTGCCGGGTCTGGAGTTATACGGGCTCGGGATTTTTCGAGGCTGCTCTCCTCTCTCTGCAGGTGGCTAGGACCCCTCCCGCGGAGGTCCGGGCTAATGGATACGTCAGGGGGTGGCAGTGGGCAGGTAGCAGGTGTGTTTGGGAAGGAGGTAGCAGGGCCCACACTTGATGTCCGAGGGGGTTCTGGGATGCTCGACCCTATCCTCGAAAAAGAGCCAGTGTGGGAGACATTAAGGTGTCTCAGACGATCTTCTGGGGTTTGCCTTGGCCTGTGCATCCACGTCTCTACATCCTGGAGAGCGCGCAGCAGCGGTAGCTGCAGCCCTGAGCCAAAAGTGGCCCAGCCTTGCGCTTCTTGGTGTCCCTGGGGACAAAACCGGAGGTTCACTCACTGGCAGGGACGGAGGCTAAGTGTCCCCCCCGCCGCCCACATGCGCTTGCTGAGTTCTAGGATAGGCTTCCCAGGTATCTGGCCAGGTGGAGGCCCCTTCACGTGACAGCACAGTGAATGAGACTGCTGCTGCTGCTGAGAGCCATGGGGAGCTGGCCCCATATTGGCCACCCCAGGAGGGGATTGTGAGGACCTTCAGCAAAATTTGGTAAGCAGGTCTGGAGTCTTCTGGTACTAACGTTCCGTAAATTGATTGCAGGTAGTGCCAGGGTGTAAGCACCTTGGAAACTGATTTTGTGCTATTCTTCCTGGCAACACCTTTTTATTTATTTATTTGTTTGTGTGTTTGTTTATTTTTAATATGATCTATTTTAAACATTTTTACTGCATTCTAGCAAGCATACAAAAACCACAACATCTTTGTACAATTTGGTGAATTGTCACATAACAAATATATGAGTGTTTTATATAAGATGGATCAAGAAAAGTAAGAAATCAAGGGGAAAGTTTTTTAGTCACTTAAAACTTGCTTTTCATTGGAGTTGGGGGGAGCAGTTTCTGATTTGGCCTTCTGTTGCATCACGCATAGAAGGGAAGGGATGACTTAAATCATTTTCAGTTTGTTTTTTCATTTTTTTTCCTCATTGAGTTTATTGGTACATTTTAGGTATGCAGTACAGTTACACTCATTATTGGGCTCTTGTACCTTTACATGGCAGGTCTTGTTTCTCATTTTTTCCCCTGTCCCTGCCCTCCCTTCATTCCTCCTCCCTTCCACTTTACAAACACTTCATTTCCATTTCTTCATTTTCTCGTATTTTTTTCTTTTCCCTTTTTAGCTTTCCCCTACCCTTCCCACTTTCCCTACAACTTTAGCCCCTTTCTTCGTATTTCACATTGTCCATTATATCATTAGGATCTTATGCACTATTAATAGTTTTTCACACCAGAGAAACTATTCTGTATTTACACATGTGTGACTTATTTATTTCACTTAGGAGTATATCTTCAATATCCATTTTCCTTTGAATAAATCTAATTTCTCATTTTTATGGCTGAGTAATATTCCATTTTATAGAAAAAGCACATCTTCTTTATCTAGTTTCCAACTGATGGGCAAATGGGCTGTTTCCAAGTTTTAGCTATTACAAACTGTACCACTATTAAAAACATTTTAAACACCCTGATTACAATAAATGAAATTGAAAATATAATTAAAAATTTACCAACAAAGAAAAGCCCAGGCCCTGATGGATTCACTGCTGAATTTTACAAGACATTTAGAGAAGAACTATGGCCCCATTACTCTTCAAACTTTTCAATGAAATTGAAAGGGAAGCTATACTTCAAAATTCATTCCTGGAAGCAAGTATCACTTTGATTCCCAAATCAGGGAAAGACGCAACTAAAAAAGAGAACTACAGGTCAATCTTAATATAGATGCAAAAGTCCTTAATAAGATACTAGCAAACAGAATACAGAGGATCATCAAGAAGATGATACATCCTGACCAAGTCGGATTTATTCTAAGGATGCAAGGATGGTTCAACATACGTAAGTCAATAAATGTAATACACTATATTAACAAAGTCAAGGACAAGAACCATATGATCCTCTTGATAGATGCAGAAAAAGCATTTGACAAAATTCATTTTTTATTAAAGGCAAAACTTAATATCACAGGATAGTGATATACATAAATACCTTTTAAACCTGTGCTTCTGTTTTCATCCTTTTTGCTCAAGCTGCACCTGATAGGGAAAAACCCAGAACCCACCCATCAGAGCTTGCCCTTCCTGACAAAGGAAACCCTGTAAAATAAAACATTGAAAAGGGGAAGTTATTTGAGTTTGTATTTTTGTTTGGTTGAGAAATTATTTATTTATTTATTTATTTATTTATTTATTTATTTATTTATTTATTTATAGTACCAGGGATTGAACTTAGGACCTTCCACTTGCGAGGCAGGCGACCAAAACACTGAGCTGAGCTGAATCCCCAGCCCTTGGTTGAGAATTTAAATAATGGCTTATTTAGATGTTTGTTGTTCTAATCAGAGGTTCACATGGGACTTTGTGGTTGGACCTTCAGTTTATCTGGGGGTTTAAATTTATTTGAAGGAACTTAAGTAGAGGGATTCTTCTCTGTTTTTTGTTTGTTTGTTTTGTTTTGTTTTAGGTGAGAATCTCACTGTGTTGCCCAGGCTGGCCTCTAACTCACAATCCTGCTGCGTCCTTCTGGGTAGCTGGAATCATAGCCATGCACCATCCATACACAGCTAAGGGGTGGGGAGGTCCTTAGTAAATTATTTGGAACTTCTAGCATAGAATCATTTAATGCACCCTGCTGAAATTTAGATTAGCTTAAAGCTCTTTTCCTCCATTTGAAATTGGAAAGGGCAACTTTGTGAGACCCTGTTTCAAAATTTTTTAAAAAATGTAAAAAGGCTGGGATATAACTCAGTGCGAAGGCCCTGGTACTTCGAAGAAGAAAAAAATTGAAATAATGGAAAGACATGTTATGTGAAGTTGTTGTTTTGCAGTACTGGAGATTGAATTTTGGGCTCTTATGTTGAGTTACATACCCAGCTCTTATTTTTTACTTTTTACTTTGAGAAAGGTCTCATTAAGTTGCTAACTTACCCAGGCTGAGTGCAAACGTGTGATCTTCCTGCTTCAGCCCCTCCAGAGTGGTATGAAATTTTAAAATATGAAACTTCTATGTACATTAAGGTTAATATGGTAAATTGAAATGCTCAATTTAGGCACTATGGTTTGTTCTTTGGGGGTTAGTGAGGCCGAATACTTAGAAAATGTCATTCTCAGAAAAATGTTGATTCTTGAGATTTTATCACGATCTAACCTGGATACTGATAATTTTGGGTAAGACTTTGGTCTTACCATGTGGGGCCCATTCCAAATAACAATAATCCTGCATTTCTAGATGATCAGCCATTGTTCCTAAGCTTATGATGGTTGTTGTGGGAGCTACAAAAGACAGAAAGGCCTGATGTTTAGGCACTCTCATTTTAGCATAGTTGGAGGATACAAGCAGATGAGTGGTTTTCCTGAGAGCTGTTGTAGGAAGCAGCAAGGGAATACTTCTGGTTGTTTCATCTAGCCATATTGAAATCCCTTGTTTGTTCCCATTACTCACCAGTGATGTTGCTTTTCTTTTCTTTTTACTTACCTCCAGGATAGAAATTACCAAATGTACTGTTAAGTGCACAGTGTAACAAATGAGGAGTAAGTACCTATTGTTTCTGTCTTCATAAAAACTTTAGCCAGCAGATAGGATCACCAGATCTCAATTGTCATGTCAGATTGCATCATTGTCACACAGGTCCTGTGCTCTTCTAGGCCTGAAAAGCCCCTTTCTCCCCTTTACCCTTCAGAGATTCACTTCCTCTGGACCATTTTAATTAGAATTAATGTGTAGTACTTCCTCCTGTCAGTGCCTGTAGTACCTCCAGCAAAGCACTATTTTTCTGCCTGTTACTTAACATTAACTTTCTAATTCCTCCAGTTACATGTTCATTGAGTGCCATGGTATGCGGGAATCTGTGCTGGTGGGTATTGGTGCTAATAAAGGAATAGATTGAAATCCAGACTACCTGAGTGTAAATGGCAGTTGTACCCTTCCTTCTGTGTCACTTTGGGGGTTACTTGACATCTCTGAGTTTCAGTTTTCTTACCCTTGATATGAAGACTGGGAAGACTAGGAGACAGAGCACTGTTTTGAGGATGAAACAGTGAGTAACTCTACAGCAGTGCTTGTTGCACAGGAAGTTCCTGAGCTGGTTAGTATTATTAATTATTGCTTCTCAGATTGTTAGCCTGAGGGGCAAAGCCTGAGTCCAGGTTTTAGGTGCCTGCCTCAGTTCCACCTGCTACAGAGGGAAACTGGATGGCCATCCTACCATTCCTTAGGGTTTTTGTTCAGGGTAGATCTATAACTAGTGCTTGCTGGCTGTTTTAAGATGGAGGAAGTTATACATGGCTGAGTGCTCAATAAATACTCATGAGTGAGATTAAAGAAGTATGTCAATGGAGAAATTTGAAGGAATGGAACCACAAAGCATGCTTCCTGAGGTCTGTTGAGCTTTCTGGTGTGTTCTGCCCATAAATATTATGTTACTGAGTTTAATTCATTTTCCTATTGCTCCTGGCAGCTGGAAAAATGTCCACTGGATCTAAAAAAATCCAACTGCTTTATAATGGAAATTTGAGAAAGGGAGGTACAAATTATTTCCATTAAATCTACAGTGACTTTTGATAAACATATTGCCAGAGTCTTTGGGTTAGCTGGGCACAAGGAGAAGCAACCATTGCCTCTGGATTGGTTGAGACTACAAGCAGGATATGATGACAAGAATTGCGTTAAGGTTTCAATATACATTTAAGAATGTAAAATAGTGTTTAGATTAACCTCCATCTTTCCCTCTTTCCTCTTGTCTTGTATAATTAAATTTAGGACATTTCAGAACTTTTATTCTTTAGTAAGGAGGTAATTGCTTTGAAGGAAGATGAGCTTCCTTTTTTAAAAAAAGATGGGATTCCATAATGACCTTCCACTTCCTTTCTTTCATCCTCTGACATGTACTAGGATAATATCAGGGAATAAAGTAGAAGTTTAAGAAACCTCCCCCAAGAATTCAAAGTAAAGTGGGGCTGAATAGCAAAAGTTGAAAATTCCATTCCCAAGAAAATAGTTCTTTATCCTTTTTTAAAATTGCACTTATTTATTTTCTTACAATACTAGAGATTGAACCCAGAGCTTCACACATGATAGGAAAGCACTCTCTATCACTGAGCTCATCCTCAGAGTTGCGTTTAAAACCATTCTTAAACACTCTGACCCTAAAACTGCTTGGACTTTGACAATGGAAAGAACCACTGGGTTGGGAGGTAATGGCACAAAATTGTTTTGGGTTTGGGGCTCGTAGCTTTATTTAGTGATCGCAGTATAGGACTTAGCAGGACTTTCAGGGCAAACTGTTTAATTTTTTTGACTATTAAGTTTCTTTTGTAGGGAAAGGAAAAATGGCTCCCCTTACTTTAAAAGATCTTTGGCTATGAATTAAGTTAACATAAAACAGATTAGTGGGAGAGAAAACATGCTTCATTATATGTGCACTGATAGGAGACCCAGGAAATGTGAGACTTGAGGAAGGGTGGGTTGACTGAAGCTTATATAGCATCTTGAAGAAAGAGCTTGGAACTTCTGAGTCGTGGCAGGGTCACAAATTGTGGGAGAGTGAGGGGATCAAAAGTATGATGAATAAAGGTTGACTTCTTATGCAGATTAAATCTCACAGGTAATAAATGTCTGGAGCAGCCTACTTCCTGATACAGATATGTGCTAGCATAGATTTCCTTCACAGATGTGAATTTCTTCTACAAAACTGCTTAAAAGAGCTACTTCTACATCTCTTAGAATGAGGATCCCAAAATATGCTGAAGAAAGCAATTTTGGAGTGGCATATTCTGTTCTACATTCATATTTTGAGTTGAAGTGTCTGGGCCCGAACACTGTCATTTCTGTTTTTTGAAGAGGGTGTAGTATGATGCTGTGGATTGAAGCCAAGGCCTTGTTCAGGCTAAACGTGCTCTACTTCTGAGCTACGTCCTCAGCTGCGTCATTTCTTCTTTTTCAAATAGTCTACCTTCTTCAGTGATTTTTTTAAAAGAGTATCTCATCTTCTGTAGTAATTACATTGACTGACTTAAAAAAGAAAAATTCACAGGGTTGATTTGTGTAGGTGAAATACAGGGATGCATTTCTGGGTGACACTGGTAAATGTCTTAGTAAGACTTTGGGATGGATTTGATGAGATACTGTGCCTGCTGATAGGATAGTGTTGCCTGGTTTTGGGCAACTGTTTGTGTGCTGAGTTAGGGTTTGTTTTTGCTTTTTTTTGATACTGGAGATCAAACCCGTGACCTTGCACTTGCGAGGCAGGTAGCAGTACCACTGAGCTAAATCCCTGGCCCTGCTTGTGTGTGCGTGCGCGTGTGTGTGTGTGTTTGTGTGGTACTGAGGATTGAACTCGGGTCCTTGTTGTGCTTGTGAAGCAGGTGGCAGAACCTTTGAGCTAAATCCCCAGCCCCCTGCTTTTGTTTTTTGAGATGGGGGTCTCACTATGTATTAGGCTGACCTTGAACTCACTCTAGCCCAAGCTGGCCTCGAACTCATGGGGATCCTCCTGACTTAGCCTCCTAGTGCTGGGATGACAGGCACATGCGACCATACCTGGCTTGAGTTAGCTTAGACTTGAAAACTTCCCCTGGCCTTGCTCTCCAGCCTCTTTGGAAAGAATTGTACCAGAAAAAGAAAGAACAGGTGATTGGGGTGCAGAGAATCACTCACTCTGCCTCACACCTTGGAATGTGGATTTCACCATCTCATCATGTGAAGCTTTGGGGCAAATTAGACTTCTAGATTCCCCCTGCATCTGCCTCTGAGATCAGTCTGAATACAAGCTCTGATCTGCTTTTCTGTTGGGAAGCATTTGTTTACTTCTTGCCTAAGTACTTTTCCCTTTTAAAAAGCCTTTCAATGAGCAGAGTTAAGGTTGTGATTTAAGCAAATGAAAAACAGGTATGCATGAGGTACACACGTGCAAAGTGAGGAATCATGATCATGCCAAATGCCTGAGATTCCTTGGGATGGCAGGGTCTGTCCAGGGTTCATAACTTCTAGCTAGTGCTGGGTTCATTCACCATCTGAAAATACTTCTTTTTCTTTTCAGTAGTAAGGGCTTGTGCCTTGCGGCCCCCAGACAACTCTTTGGAACCTATCTTGCTCCTTTGTCACTTCAGCCTTTCATTTTTATCCTTCCCTCATTTCTGTAACAACAGCTTTATTGAGATAAAATTGATATACATTTCACCCACTCCAAATGCACAGTTGAGTGGTTTTTAGTGTACTCAACAGAGTGGTATGGTCATTAGCACAGAACATTTTAGAACATTTTCATCTCCCTGCAAAGAAACCCTGTACCAATTAGCCATCATTCCTCATTCTCCTTCACCTATCCACTGTTCTACTCTGTCTATATAAAGCCTTCTGGGCATATTCCCTGGCAGTCCTCAGCTTTTGGTGCATACACATGTTGTGGTCACCTAGAAGGCCATGGGTGAGTTTCTAAGAACCAGAGGTTTAGAAACCATCCTTCAGGTCCTATAATTGCTTTTGCCCTGAAGCCTTGCCATTTCATCTCCCGTGCAACCTTACTCCTCAGGGCCGGTAAAACACTTAGAACTTGACTGCAAACTTCCCCAGCAATGTACAGTTATGTACTACCACACACATATTACTTCTAATTCCCCAATACTGGTGGTAACTCCTGCTAAATGTTGAGCACTTACTGTACTAAGCACCACTATAAGTTGCTCAGGCTGAGCTGGAACTTGCAGTCCTCCTGCCTCGGCCTTCCATAGTGTTGAGTTCACAGGCATGTAACCACCACATCCAGCCCAATCATCAGCTCTTACTATATGTTATTTTATTTTTATTTATTTATTTATTTTTGGTACCGGCGATCAAACTCAGGACCTTGCATTTGCAAAGTAGGCAGCGAGACCACTGAGCTAAATCCCCGACCCTATACATCATTTTATTTCCTTTCTTTTTTTTTTTTTTTTCCTGTTCTAAACAGCTTTATTGACCGGATGAGAAATCCACTTGAGTACAACCATGCCTGAGGCCCTTGCACTTGACAGCTACAGTGTTGTCCTTTCAGCCCCTGGGACATACAGGCCTGGCCCCTTCTTCTTCCTCCTGCTGCCCGCTGACCTGGGGGTCTGGGAGGAAGGTGGGGCCTTGTGGCTAAAGGCCCTGCAGAAGGGTGAGGTGGAAAGGGCAGGGTCCAGGTTGTAGAGGAGATCTGAGGACTGGGAAAGCGGTGTTGTAGGAAGGTGAGGGTAAGTCTGCCTCCCTCCACATCTGAGGAATAATCAGTCTGGCATGGCTAGGACAGAGCACTGATCTGGGCTGGGTTGAAACAGGGTCAGGGAGGAGCTGTCCCTACAGTTTCAGACCCAAGGTCAGGTCAAGGCTAACTACCTTGGGCTTTGGACCCCTGATAAAAGCAAATGTGGGTTGGAACTGTTTCATTATGATCTCCCCCCATCAAACAGGGAACTAGATGACTGAGGAGGATCAGGCAACCTCCTGACTTTGGGGTCCCCACACCTGGGTTGTTCTCCAGCCTCACATGGAAGGACACCAGTTCCACAGTGACTCATGGGCAGGAGGCCTAGAGAAGCAGGTAGTATCTTTCTGTGGCCCATGATCCTGTCTGCATGCTTCTCTGCCTCCCTAGTGACCTGAGCTGGGACTCCTTGAGCTTCTGAGGGACACCCAGGAGCCCACCCCCTTTCCCACAGAGGATGCCTGGGACCCAGTAAACCACAGCCTTTCCTCACCCCATCTTGGTCCTGCTTTCCTGCCCCTCCAGCCTGTTGCTGCTCTTCCTCTGGGCTTTGACATGGGGTCTCGGGAGTCCTGGCCAGCCGATGACAGGGAAGAGGCTGGGGTCTGTGGGGTGCAGTGTGGGGAGAGGGCCTGGTCCCACTGAGACCACAGAGACAGGTGTCTCCAAATGGTAACGGTGTCAGATGCCGGGCAGAGGGAGCTCCTTAGTGGGACGGGAGCTCAGGCAGACCCCCAAATCAAAGGGAGCCAGATGCCCAGGTTCAAGTCATTAGTAATGTGCGGCAGCGCTAAGTGAGAGAACCCCAGAGGTCTCCATGGCAGCTGGGAGGGAAATGTCGATGGAAAGCATGGGAGAGGCCGGGTGCAGCAGTCAGTGGTGGTGGCCTCACTCAGAGTGGACCAAGGCCCCGGCTCCTTGTCCAAAGCCAAAGCCCTTGGGCCCGAAGTTTTTAGCATAGCATCCTTTGCAGTAAATCTCGCCATCCTTGTCTGCCAGAGTGATTGACTCGAGGCCTTTGCCACACTTGGCACATCAGAAGCAGGATTTATGCCAAGACTTCCCAGCCCCGATCACCTTCTCCGCAGCATAGACGGCTTGGCTATAACGAGGATAGCGCTCAGAGCCACCAATCTTCTGGGCAAACTTGGACACATTGGGGTTGGTGGTGGGCCTGTGGCCAGGGACGTCCTCATGCTTGATGCCCAGTGACTCCCCCTTGTCAGTGCTCAGTGTGCCTGCGCCCTGCCCATAGCCATAGCCTTTTGGCCCATACTTCTTGCCGTAGCAGGACTTGCAGTAGATCTCTTCTCCATGCACAGCCACAGTGGTGCTGTCCAGATTCTTCTTGCAGACCATGCACAGGAAGCACAACTTATGGAAGCTGTTGCCCTCACACTGGATCTCTTCGGCAAAGTAAACCGTCTTCTGGCACACCCCACATTTCTTGCCTCCTCCCCAGTTCGGCATTCTGGCAGCTGCTGGGCGTCGGCGCTGGACAGGCGCTGTGGGAAGCTGTGGCTGGGTGCGCCCGGCCTGAGCGCCATTTTGTTCCCTATTTCCTTTCTTACAACTACCTTTATACTGCTTTTTTCCCCCAATTTTAGAGCTGTTTCAGATATCTATTATGATATAATGATTTGCTCCAAAACATAATTTCTCACAATTCTGGGTGATGACTGGCTATTTGAGCTATTTTTCTGTTCCATTTGGGACGCCTGGAGTCACTCCTGCCACAACAGTCAACTGGGAGCTCATTTGGGCTTGAAATGTCCAAGATGGCCTTTCAGTGTCCAGATGTCTAACTGCTGGAAGTCTGTCCTGAACTTCCTAACAGTATAGAAGCTGTGCTTCAAGAGTGAGAAAAATATAAATTGCCAGTTCTCTTGAGGTCTGGTCTAGAAGTGCCAGAATGTCATATTTTTTCAGTACTGGGATTGAAACAAGAGGTGTTCTACCCCTGAGCTTCATCTTCACCCCTTTTTAAATTTTTATTTTGAGGCAGGATCTCACTAAGTTGCCCAGGCTAGCCTGGAATTTATGATTCCCCTGCCTCAGCCTCCCAAATAGCTGGTATTACAGGTGAGTGCCATCACACCTAGCTTCAGAATGTCACTTTTGCTGCATCTGATAGTCAAAGCAAGCTACAAGGCCAACCCAGATTTAAGGGGAGAGGAAATAGACTCCACCCCCTAAGAGGAATGGATAGTGTTCCTGTTTGAAATTTCTACTGCAGTGGATAAATACATGACAATTTTAAAAGATCCAGTAATTTGCCCAAGAACACACAATAAATGCCAGGCCAGGCTTTACATCCAAGTAGATCCAACACTAGAGTTATTTTTAATCTTCATGCTACTGTGTCTCCACAGATGATTAACAACCTTGTTTTGCACACAGGCTGTGCCTTCCATATTTTCTGGACCATTCTCAGTATTGTCTATGCACATCTTACCAAGGATATTGTGTATCTTTTCCTTAGGACAGAATTGTTTAATCTCCCCATTTGTCATGAGGACCTTATTCCATAGAATTATAGCAAAAATATTAACTAAAATGCTTAGAGGAAGAGACATTCCATTTATTGGTGTGTGATCAGGGACCTTGCTTTCTAAACTAGTAACATCCTGTTTCTGCAGTGATAGGAAGCCTAAGTGACTGGAATGAGATTTTTTTTAGGTCTCACTTAGTAGTTCAGGCTGACCCTGAACTCGCTACATTACCCAGACTGGCCTCCAACTTGCAGTGATCCTCCTGCCTTAGCCTCCCTCCCCAGTGCTGGGATTACAGGCGTGTGCCACCATGTCCAGAGAGACATTCTATTTAATAGAATTCCCTGGTCTTCTAGGAATTGGCTCCCATCCTTTTCTGCCTTTAATATTGAGGATCTCTGAGACAGCTTTTTCTGGCTAGGGAGTTATATTGGATGTGATTGAGCATTAAGGCTTTTGCTGTACCTTTGGGCCATCTCTGAAAGAATTGAAGAAAATTGTGATACTTCAGCCTGGTGTCTCTGAAACTAATTTTGGTCAAGAACCAAATTTGGGTTCTTTTTAAATTCTAATCTGCTGTTGGTTAATATCTTGGTAAAATAGAATAAAGAGGACTTAATTAGAAAAAATAAAAGACATGAAAATTACAAATCCTAATTTGTAAATTTTAGATTCTATTAAATATTAGATTCAAAGATGCCAATAAACATGAAATTACTCTTTTAAATTACTGTAAATGTTTCTAAATGTATACTGCCAGTTAGTGTCTTTATCATGGACTAATAATGAACAATAAGGAGATTAGCATTCATATATAGGCCACATATACTCATGCTTTGGGCAGCTCTGCTATGGGCCAGCATTTTCTAGAGAGTTTGGCCATAAGAAGGTTTTATGTTGCAGATGGACAAACATCTTTTCAACTTTGGATTAATAGTTCAATGGATTCTTTAGTTGTATTATAAAAATACAACTGATGTATCAAACCATGGTTTCATGAATAGTGTCAGGATGAGTAAGAAGTAGAAATAAAAGTCAACTTAAAGAAAAATACTAATAGGATAGGTCAGTGCTGGCTAAGAATTCTAGCAACATATGCATAATTTAAAATTTTCTAGTAGCCACATTTAAAAGAAAAACAGGTGAAATTAATGTATAATTTGTCTAACCTAATATATCCAAAATATTTCAATGTATAGTTAATGTAAAAGTTATTAATGATACATCTGACATTGTCTGTATGTCATACTTCTAGCATGTCTCCATTTGGACTAGGCATGCTCAGTAGCCAACTGTTGCTGGTGGCTCCTGATTTGGACAGCACCAATCTAGACTGTCTCCATCATGGCAGAGTTCTGTGGTCCAGATTGGACCTCATGGGCACTACGCTGCCATGGTATTGAGTGTGGTTAAGGTGTTGTCAAGTATGGTATAAAGGTGTGGTATTGAGCCCAGCGCCAATTTCCTCTGCGTCGATAAGCACATAGAAATGGAAAGGTGCTCTGATAAATGGTCTCCCCTGCAGTGGGACAGAGTAGGGCTGGAACCCTGGATTCTTTGAAGGAAGAAACTGCTTTTGATTTTCCCAGTGTGGGCAAGGGGAGTGCACTGGGGCTGTGACTGGTGGGGTCCTTATACAGATTGTTGTCTTGGGGATCTGACAGGCTGTGGAAATGGGCTGGGTTTGGTAATTGTTAGACTGTTATTGAAAGAAAACAGTATTTTTAAAAAATCTACACAACTGTAACTGTGGAAGGAGAGAGCCATGTTAACCAGCTCAGGATCTTCCAGGTTTTATGTTGGGGTCCCTTGAGGAATCCCCCACTGCTGGGTAGGGCAGGGTCTGGATGTCATGGGCTCTGTGATGTTGGATCTGCTCATCCCCAGGCCAAATACCATTCCTTTATGCAGAGGACTGTAATTTTTTTTTTCTTTTTAGGACTGTAATATTGAGTATGCCCAAGGCAGGCAGTAAATAGTTAACCTCACAATTGGCTTGTTCATAGAAGCAAGTCTGGCTGATGCCTACTTGCCAAGGTCAGAGTAACTCACACCCAAATTCTATTCCCACAACTAAAACCTTACTAGGACAATGTTCTGCTTACAATAATATATTTTGTCTATTATTTTCCTAATTCGAGAATGCTTTGTCTTGTCCTTACTGAGCCTTGTTTGCATTAATTTCTATAGAAACCACATGTCACCCTTACCCCAATTGATTGCCAATAAAAGTCAGCACCTGGAACTACCCAGAGCCTTTGTCAGTTACACCAGCATTGGTCATGCTGGCACCCCACTTTCTCTCTCTTAGTTCTGTCTCTTAGTGTATTTTTGTCTCAGGCCTGTGTTGCACACTGGGCAGGTGGGTACTGGAACCTGACTACAGGTGTCTCCAGCACCTTTCTAGTGTCTTGTTATGGAAGCTACCCGATAATTCTGACCAGTCTGTTAGGACAGATGCCCTGACTCTGGGAACTACATTGTTAGGCAGTTCCAGTGTATTCTGGGCTAGTTCTGGCTCTGTTGTTCTAAGGTTTGTTGTGAGAGAGCTCATGTTGGGTATAAAAGGCCTTACTGGGCAAGACCAGTTACGCAGCATCTGCTTCAGGACCCACAGGACAAGTCCTTTCCCAGACCAGGTTGTCCCCAGAGTAGTTAGTCCATCTTAATTTTGGACACAGTCCTTAAGAATTGACTGTTCAAGGGAACAAAGGTGAGGGGTGACTAGGAGGGGAAGGGGAAATAAGAATAAAAGATGTGACATGTACAGGAACCTAATCACCCCAATTAATGTACACATAGGCCATACCATGAGCTAAGACAAATAATAGATCAGATTGGGCACATTCAGGGTGGTATGGCTATAGCTAAGACAAATAATACCAATAAGAATGAAAAATGGGGTATGGGAACTGGAGAAGGAGGGAGGGGAAGGGAAGGAAAGGGAAGGGAAAGCAAATTTAAAAAAAAGAAACAAGCTGTAATATGTACATCTAACCACTCCCCAAGACAATTGTAAACTACATGAACTGCAAACATGTACAAATGAAATTTAAAAAAAAATTTTTAAAGAGTTGACCGTTGGTTTAACAAGCCAACCAGTGTAGTGTCCTGGTTGCTTTGATAGATATTTTGTATTAACTTCTTTTCAGTTCATTTTTTCTGTCCTTACCTTTGCTTTTCTTTTTCTTGCCCACTTTCCATATTTTTTTCTGCTGGATTTTATATAAGCAGCTTTACTCCCTCCTGCAGGGAGGGGGGGGAGTGCATAAATGAACACCTGAAAGTAATAAATACAGAACAGAAAATGCCCTTGCAGCTGGAGTGTTTCTCCAAGCACCAGAAGCCCTTTATTAAGCAGTGTTCTGTGTCCCTGTTTTAAAACAACACCCTAATATATGCCATTAACTTGAAATAACTATCAGAATTTTAAGCTGGGCAAAGTAGAATTTTCCTGCTGTGCTTATTTTTTAAAACAACCTCTGCTCCAAGGGGATTCCTGTACGTTCTCTTCTTTCAGTGCTAAGCGTGCATTGTGAGCACTCCACTGACTAGAGGGAAATGGCACTGTGCATGTAGTATCGCCTCTTAAGAGGGTCTGCTTTTTTCTTCCTTACTAATTGTATGTGTTCAGTTTGCCTGAACACCAGTCAGTGGTAACAACTGGTGATGAAATATTATATCAGTCTTCATTGGAGGCACTTCTTGCACTTGGGTAATTTTCCCCCAGCAGAGATGTGTGCTATGAGCAAAATTTAACAGTGATCATTTTCATTAGCTATATAGCCAATATTAAGCAGTTTTAGTTGTATCTTCAGATCAGAAGCTTTTTAAAGAAATTGCTAATTCTGTTGCCCCTTTCTCCTTCCTCACCCATCTAAATTTCCACTTCATCTGATTTTATTGTTTTCATCAGTCACGAATTTTTCCTAAAGAATAATTATTGCTTCTTATTAATCATCCATTAATTTCTACATAGCCCTATTCTCCTGAGACAAGATTAATCCTGTTTATAGAAGACTAAGTAAGAGACACAGAC